GAAAAGAGGAGGGGGGGCGCAGAGGAGAGAGAGAGAGAGAGAGAGAGAGAGAGAGAGAGAGAGAGAGAGAGAGTGAGAGAGAGGGGGTCAGAAAAATATAATTAAACAATTTTGCTGTATCAACTCTTGTTTCACCCAAAGAAACAATCTGACCGAAGAAAGTCTTCTTTACAAAGTCGCAAACATTGTGTAAATAAACATTTATATTTAGTATCGAGCATTTGACCCTCTGCATTATGTAAAATGACCAACTCGGTCACTTACATCGGCATAATCAAAGTGTAAAAGGAGATTCCTGTTTCTTTTTTTTGTTTTTTTTTTCTTTCTTTTTTTTTTTTTTTTTTTGTTTTTTATTTTATTTTTGGCGAATAATCCAATCTAAATATTATATGGAAAGAGCGACGACGTTGCATTGGCTTATCGATCGTGTCAGCGACTGAGAAAAAACGACTAGCATTATAATAGACGCTTAAAACGAGAAAATAAAGAGCCGATATGGGAGAGAAAAATGTAAATATATATAATGTCGTTTCAATGTGGACAAAGCCTGGGTTTCTTTCTTATTCCTACAAAAGTCATCCATCTCTGTTACTTTCACACGTCCTCTATTAGTTATCGCGAAGGAGAGCCGCAGGTATGCGTTATTCATATTTTTTATGTAAATATCTTTTCCTTCAAATACCTCAAATCACAGTTTAATAATGGAGCTCTGTAAGTGTAATAATATTTTACATTTTGTATTTTATTAATTTCTTACTGTACGTGAAGTATTCGTTGTAGGAACTCCGCTCACTGCAACTTTTATAAAGAAATCATATTTACTGCAAACATCTTATCAACAGTGAACTTTATAATGATATCATCGGAAAGTTCATGCATTCGTATCAGTCCAGTCATTATCTGTCATTATTCATTACATGCGACATTCCCTAGCCTCTCTAACATTCGGAAATTATAAAATATTCGTAAAGTTATTTCGTAGTTATGTAAACAAAACAAAACAAAAAAAAAAAATAATTCCGTAGATTTTGTTTTACTTGTTCATTCTTTTGTGTAAAAATTGATAATAACATATTAATTGTGTAAAATAATACCAAAACTAGATAAGTGTTAGTTATTTTTCAATTTAGAAATATACGACAATCTTTTGCATAGCTTTTAAATAATAAATAATTATGATTAATTTTCTCTTTATATAGAATATTGACATTTTTAGAGATTATTTGTTTTCTTTTTTTTTTTTTTTTTTTTTTAATCTTTTAATATTTGTTTAAAAATTATTTTTATTTTTCGTTTGTTTAACAACTAGTTTAGATTTTGATTTGGAATAATTTTTTTTATTCATTAATCAAGTATTAAAATAGAAAAGAACGAGGAGCTTGTGTACGATGAAAAATCTGTTTCAGCATCAATACTTCATTTTATTCAATTAATTATAAGAAGAACAATGTGGTAATGGTAATTATAGCTTTATTGTATTGATTAGTGGGGATTTTTCATTCGCTTGTATATCCATGCAACTAACGACCACTAATATCTCAAAGTCTGAGCAAAAAAGTATTAAAAATATTGTAAATATCTGGCAATTTAATACGATCGCTAAAAGTTTTTATTTTCATTTTTTTTTTTTTTTTTTTTTTTTTTTTTTTTTTTTTTTTTTTTTTTTTAATAAAATGTATTCATCTTGTGCTTGTAAATTATATAAAATTCATTTACATAAGATGTATTTGGCATAATAGTTTCGCCTTTTACAATTATAAAAATACAAAAATTTTCTTCGCTTCATTATTAATTATTGATTTACTTTTTTTTTTTTTTTATTTTTTATTTTTTTTTATTACTTAGAAATTCTTAAGTATGATATAATTTAATATTTTCTGCTTATGTATTAAAACCTGTTACAAATATTATGTATTTTTAAACAAAATTTTAGACTCTGAATAATACATTCTAACAATAAAACATTGTTAGATATAAAAATTGAATATTAATTTTGTGAAATATATCGTGTGAAAATAGCAGAATAATAATAATAATAATAATAATATTTGTTCAATTAAATTACCAAAAATGACATATAAATTTCGGCAATATGATTGTCATGTAAAACAACGTGAATCGGATGCAATATTTTTCGTAAACACTTTTCATCTTTGATATTGTTAATAATGGTTAATAACAATCATAGAAGAAGTGCATCGCAAAGGGATTTAAATACATTGGAAATTATTTTCTTAATTCTGTGGACCGATCGATCATTCGAAAGTATAAGTAAAAGCAAGCCAGACATTTTGAAAATTCCATTACATACTTGTGTATTCTATGGGCAATAATAGAATTTTCATCGCATGCCTATAAATATTATTCATACTCCGGCGCTATGCAATTTATAATTTAATCTTTTATTTTCACTCTCGTCGTCAAAGATTATTACGAAAACGTGGCATTTTGAACATGTGCTTTTTCAATATTTTCTGGTTTTTTTTTTTTTTTTTTTTTTTTTTTTTTTTTTTTTTTTTGATAAGTCGATGTGTCGGTAACTTTCTTACTCAAGAACAATATCTTTTATATGCAGCTCCAACGTAATTGCCATTTTATTTGATCAATTATCGAGCAATTACAATATTTGAATTTTATCACGACATTCTTTCGACTCGTTCTAGTAAAGCCGAAAATAAAATACGCCATAAAGTCTACGTCAAAGCACGCAAACTTAGTAAAAGAATTTAGACGCGCAAGCTTCGATTAATCGATCGGTCTAAATCAATATCGAGTGGCAGAGATACGCGAACGAGGATGCTCGGCTTTAAATATTTAAATATACATAGATATTTTAACAGTGAAGGAGGACCGGGCAACCTCGCTAATCGTTTGACACACGCGCGCTCTCTCACGCTCGTGACCAATGATTGCAGGGTTCACTAAGCCGAGCACTGGGCTTTCGACCGCGCAGCGAGAAGGCCTCGCCTTCCTCGTCCTCGGACACGGGGAGTCTAGCGAGCCAGGGCCAGTACATGAGCAGTCTGCGGAGCAACTCGCCTCCGCCACCCCAACTACCCCCACGGCCCTCCACCATCTCGGGGAGCACGAAGCGCCATCGCCGAGTGAAGAGCATCGGCGACATCGAGTACATGACTAACGTCGCCGTGAGCACGCCGGTCTGACAGGAAATCAGGCCCCCGCAGCAGTATCCGGGGCCTTACAGAAGCCTGAGCGAGCGGGGATACTCCTCCTCATCCTCAACCTACTACTCATCCCAATACGGTTCGTACTCGGGCTACAGCAATGTCGGCAGTGGCGGTGGAGGCGGGAGCGGCGGCGGTGGCGGTTGCAGCAGCAGCGATTACTATCATTACCAGTCGCCCCCCGGAAGCACTTTTTACCAGCTACCAAGCGGTTACTACTCGCCTCAGAGCTCCGAGAAGCCGTTCCCCGGGGTCCAGAGATACGGCAGCTTAGCCGAGGAGGCCTGGCCACCCTCCACCAAAGAGGACAACGAGCCTTCCTCGAGCAAATACAAAGCTGACAGGGTTATCTAAGGCGGACCTTTTGGAGCTGCTGCTACTGCGTTAGAATACCGCATAAGCCGTACGATGTCGTCTCGGTATACGAAGGACGGAGCTCTTTCGCAAGGACAGCCACCATTTATCAAAGGAAAATTATTAAAAGATTGGTTAGCGCCTCCGTTGGAATGGGGCACGACCCAGAGTTATACGAGGGGCAGAGGGGACCTCTAATTGAACGTGAAAAACGTTATTTGACAAAGCTATCGTTAGCATCTGAGACTATTGCAACGATTATTTGTGTACTCGCAGTGTCGAACAAATAATTTGGCGAGAATGTGATGAAATAACGAAGCAGAGGATGTATCGAGATATTTCGGTATTGCATTTATCAAAAAAATAAAAAACAAATTAATCCGTTTTGGCGAAAAGATTTTGCTTTAAAAAATGCTTGTAGACGGCAGCAGTGAGAGCTAATTTTAGTATTGTTCATGAATTTCATCGTAATTATTGTTAAAATGTAGATTACAGAATTTCAAAGATGTGAAAACATTAACGGGGCTGCACATCATTTGAAGGAGAAGACATATAATGTATAAAATATCTTATTGGATCATTGGAATATGTCCGAGAAAATATTTGTAAAAAGATGTTTCTATAGATTATACTGAAATTTCGATAAGTTCGACTTGGCGTCGAAAGTTCAAACTTTTACCAAGTCGATATTTATTTAGAGCTCATTTGAAATATATATATATATATATATATATATATATATATATATATATATGTATTAAGTAATTAATTTGAACATTGTGAAAATAATATGAACAATACGATTGTTAAGTATTCGATAGAGTATTATATAAATAAATTCAAAATAGCTTGGTATGTACCTAAAAATTTATAAAATAAATAAAAGAATAAGAAAATTTAAATGACATATTAAGATGTAGTAACAATCACTAAGATACGAAACGAGTCGTTATAAAGCGATTATAAAGTGACTATTGATATTCATTTTGAAAAGTCTGATTAACTTTCGTTTAATAAAGAAAATATATAAGCGTTAAAACACCACGTTAATTCATAATGTTAAAATAACGTAATCATTATTGGTGAAATATTTTTATTCGTGTATATAAATTTAACTAATGCTAAATTAAAATTCATTTTCATTATGTAAGTTTTTATATACTTAGAATATAAAGAGTCATAAATATTTTAACGTTGATATTACATGTATTCTATATTTATTTTATATATAAAATGTATGCACTCTAATTTTTATTTATTTACGTTCGTTCCAATATTTAGAGCCGAAAGAATAGATAAACGTTAATGATATATTGACTATATGCAATAATAGATGTGCTAATTAATTATTGTCAAGTTCTTGCATTTCAACACTGAATCCAAACAATTATATTCCATTAATTTGTGATTTATTTAACAATGATAGTACCGGATTTTCAAGCTAATAAATAAATTATTAAAAAATTTATTGCACTATATAAACTGCTAGTTAATATCTTTGTGGTGAAATCACAATACAATACAGTCGTATTCAGTACTTATAATACAAAATAATAACTTGTTTATCCGTTAAAATATTTGAAATTAAAGAAGCTTCCGTAAAGATTAAAAAAAAAAAAAAAAAAAAAAAAAAAGTATATATATATATATATAAATATACTGCAGCATTCAATTAAGTTAGTTCTGTGCAAATTGAGACATTTTATTGGAATGCTTTACATATATTTATCTACAATAATATGCAATAAATTTAATTGGATTTATAAATAACCGAGATGTAATTGAAAACTATCGCTAAATAAGATTTTGGACGTGGCATAAAAAAATTCTTTCAAATAAACTATTATTTATTTAATTGACGGTACTTCTTCTTAAATTATCAATTGATTTATTCCGTACTATTTCTTATTATACAATTTAAAGATAATTGTGCATTTAATAAACAAAAAATTGATAATTGTGTTTGGGCGCGTATGCGTGTGCGCGCGCGTGTGTGTACGTGTTCTTTTTATTTCTACGATACGATCATAAAATGAAGCAATGAAAAATGTAGAATGAAATCTAATATGCAAAAAAAAGGAATAAATCCAATTGCTCATTGATGTTGTTTTACCGAGCCTAAAGCGACTCGTCAAATGCGCATTTTATGCCATTGCACTATGTAATTTAATCCCATGTAATATGTATGTTCATGTACCTAAGTAATTTATTTTATTATATTAATTCTTAGACTGTAAGTCGTGTATTTATAAATAAAAATTAAAAAAAAGTGTTATTACCGATCAGTTCTAGTGTTATCAATTATTCGTCTGGAGCGTAGCTTGAAGCGGACAATGTAGAAAGCACTAAAGCAAATGTTTTAAAAGTTAAACTATTAATAATTGACTTTTTCTCCAGCGGCTATTTAACAATACTCCATACTTCCCAAGATCTTTAGCAACCTAAAGTAGCTCTTACGTTCATTTCAAAAAAGAATATTAATGACATAAGCTGAAAGTGACTGTTGAATTCACTGCAGATAGTCAACGATATCGTTAGAATTGATAAGCGTCAGTGCGCATTACAAAATCATGCAAAAAGGAGGAAAATTGATAAACAATATGAGAATGTGAGTGAAGTATATGATTGTATCATGACTCTTTAACATGACAGAATCATGTTAAAGAGTTTGAAAATAAATAAGAATATTAAATAAGGAAACAAATTCTTTTGCTGTATGCAATTATTGACGGACGAGTGAAGGAAAAAAGTTTGTAAATGTGTAATTGGAGTGGCATAATGTGTACATAATTAACGTGCGATGTGCATTATTATTGCCCTAATCATGGAAATAAATTTATTGCCTTGAATTGTTGTTTTTTTTTTTCATAATTTCCTACCCCACGACCTATGAAACTAATTTTTCTTCTCGATAAAACTACAAATAATACTATTATTATTATTATGATCATAGCTGTATAACAATATGTAAATTTTAAGGAAAATTAAGTTATCCCAGTGGTTTTCATTCAATTACGTTATTTTAACATTATTATACACCTATGCACCCCTCGGATTAAGGGTAGAAAGGAATATGTGCGGCATAACCGATTTGCGCATGGAAAAGCGTACAAACGACTACAGAAAATACCCTACGTACGTGTGTTTTTACTAGCTCGCACACACTTTGAACATCCCGATCGATAAAGACGTTTGCTTTTTTTTCCAAGTAAGCCGATGTGTTTCAAGCCATAGTTTCTGTCTGATATTTGCCGTCAGATGTCACTCGCTCTCTCTCTCTCTCTCTCTCTCTCTCTCTCTCTCTCTTCGAGACACGTCCTCACTTTGTGGGCTCGGTAAGGTTAGGTAGCGTTGGTGATGCGGTGCGCATGCGCGAAGCACCGCTAACAAGTGCCACTTGTCACGGTGGAGTCGAAATTCGTCCATCCGATTGCGGCGCTCCAAGCACGGTAATTGCTTTTTCCGTTTATTTTTCAAAAAATTGCTTAGAAAGTGTAAAACATAATGTCTGGGAAATCGAAAGCCTTCACGAAGGAAGAAGAGCTGCTGCTTCAGGATTTCTCGAGGAATGTGTCGACAAAATCGTCTGCACTCTTCTACGGTAATGGCCTCATCGTTTCGTCGATTCCCATCTGTAAGTAAAATTTGCCCATAAATATCATAAATTTTTAATCGCCGGTTATTTTATAATTCGCTCTTTGTCGTTCATAAAAGCAATTTTACGAAGCCTATTATGTTGATTTCAGTCATGCATTTAAATTTGAGATTTATTAAATTAGGTTAGGTTACTGTACTGTGCATTGGAAAAATTAATTTTAGCACTTCATAAATATTGACATAGATTATTTTGAATAACAATGGCTTTTCAAATAATGAGTAATTTACACCTCGGACAATATTATAATAAAATCCTAAAAACAAGTATAATAAGATAAATAACCAATAGCAAATTGCAGCCGTGACAAGTCGATTAAATTAATTAAAAAATATATTTTTCAGGGCTCTTTTGGAGAATCCACCTAATTGATGTTTATTCAAACTTGATTTCCTTTTTGTTGGTTACTCTTGTCAGCACGTACGCCCTGGCCTTTGCATACAAGAATACAAAATATGTTTTAAAGCATAAGGTAAAATTAAAAGAGTACAAAATTATTATTGTAATTAATATAGCATATATAAGAAGACATTACAAAGCTAATTCTAATATATGAATAGTATTTTAATTATTGAGAACTATTTTTAAAAGCTTAATATTGCTTCTTGTAAAGATTGCTGTGAAAAGGGAGGATGCAGTTACTAGAGAAATGAGCCGTAAACTTGGGGAAGATAAGAAAATGAGCCGGAAAGAAAAAGACGAAAGGTATTGATGCGCTTTTATTTATCTATTTTTAACATAAATAGTTATTAAAATAATGGCTCTATAGGCTATTTACATATTGATAATTGGGCAAATTTTATAAATCAGAATGCCAATTATGTGAAGTACCGTTTAGTTTTATCAATTTACAGCTGAAATTCTTTTCCTCCATATTTAACATAATTTATTTGATAATTTTTATCCAAACTCTACACGAGTCTTAATGAAATTAATTAAAAGTATTTCAAAATAATTCATCATTCGCAATTAATTATTACTACAAACAAGTACATTATAATAACAAATATAACATTCGCTTATAATATTAAGTAACAACTATTGGAGGAATTAAAAATTAATACCAATTGTTGTTTAATCTACAGGATCTTGTGGAAGAAGAACGAGGTTGCCGACTACGAAGCTACGACTTTCTCCATTTTCTACAACAATGCCTTATTCTTAGCCATCGTTATTATCTCCTCGTTTTACATTCTAAAAACAATGACACCAGCTGTAAACTACGTATTTTCCGTCGGAACTGCTAGTGCTCTTCTGGCCCTCTTATCGACTGGATCGCAATAATGACATTAATCTGTAATTTCTTCTATTTGTAATAGATTTTGTTAAGTTATTTCGTGATGAGACTTTACTCGCTCAAATTTTTCATTGAGTAAATTTTTTATACGAGAGTATAACTAAGTGAACAAATATAATTATATTTATAATATTATAACTAATAATAAGTTTCCAATATTCAACAAGCCGAAGTCTTTTAATTTTAATGATAAAATTATTATATTCTTAAATTACGCATAAAAAAAATGCAGCTCCCAATGCCCTCGATACATTGGGCAATAACAGTAAGCAAATCGCAGTAAATAATAAAGTAAATTTGGAAAATCCTTCGTTGGTGCATAAATGAAAGAGAGGATGAAGGAAACTTGGAGATTACGAGATATCGTTTAAAAGCGCAGCGTGCACATTCACATACATCCACGACATAACTATTATTAACTTTCTAAGCTTGTAATATAGAAAACTCGCCAAATTTTAAAAGAAATTGGGCATCTTTCATTGACTTGGTGAAGTTAATGTTTTGGCGCGATGATAAATGCAAACGTGTACTTCAAAATACGCCCGCGGCGAGCAAAGATTTTTCCCTCTTCGTTGCGCGCGCGCGCGCGCACCTTCGCCTTAAGACCGACAAAAACGTTTATACGCGAAAGACAATAAAATTGGCAGAAAACCAGCTGTAGCGCGAGCAAAATTTTCATGTCTTATGTATATTTTATAGCTGCGGGCAAATAACGTAAGGTTCGCTTGTCGAGCCAGAACACAAGAGATGATCGACGGATTATTGTGATATTGTCGTAATCGTAGCGGCGCTCTAGCTAATTTAAAAGCGTAATATATTTCATTGTCGGCCAGCTTGCCGTGCGAAATTTCAAGGCCCTTCGTTCAAAACGCTGCACGCTGCAAAACTGCCATTATAAATCAAACTTTCTCGCAAACATAGATCCATGGGTGAATCAATGTGAATGACGGAGACGATTATATTTGAATGCGATGACAAAGGCCTAATCGATATTTTCGTCGGTTCTCTATCTACGGAAACTTTTTTTCTTTCACTGCCCTACGATTATTAATTTCGCTGATAGGAGACAAAGTTATTTTTTTTTTTGTTTGTTTGTTTTTTCTTTTTTTCCATCGAGCACGCAAGCCATTTTGTGTTTTTGTGGCAATTGTCGTCGGAGATTTAAACGAGAAATGCCCTATCCGTGTGTTGCGAATTATTTCGCAATTGTTTGCGTGAAATTTGAAATTTGCATTCTTGCAAAAATTCATTTCATCGGGAATTCTCTCAATAAAGGTATACGTTTATTAATATAGAGCACGTTTTGACGTCATATTTCGATAAATAGATAGAACTTGCTTTTATTCAAATAAATTAAGCTTAATGTCTCTCTCTCTCTCTCTCTCTCTCTCTCTCTCTCTCTCTCTCTCTCTCTTAGTTTACTCCAATTTTAGCTGAACTATATTTTACAAGCAAAATATTTTATAATGAAATATTTCTACATCCATTGATAAAGTGCAATTGAAATAATGTCCATATTTCATTTGAGTTTTTAATTCGTTGAAAACGCGTTATTGGGGTCGCGATATTAGCAGCTGTTAATGGGTTAAAGCATGTCTAATGGGATTAGATTATTTCTTTATTTTCATGATGAATTTTAAAAAGCTGACCGATAATTAATCGATCGTATTCTTCTAAAATTTAGCTAGCTAAATATAAATTGAATCCCATTTCTAATTTTTAAAAGCCGAGCTGAATTTTAATAGATTATTCTCAAATTTTATTTAGATAATCTTCTTGGATATTATTGTAGCTTAAACGTGTGATAAGTCCCACGAGAATTTTCAAAACTATTAAATATATGCCTACATTAATAAAATAATGCTATTTTTTACAATATCATGTTCTACTTATTTTATATTTATCTTAAGATCGGCTACTACTTCATGTTCGCTGAATCTAACAAGAAGCTTGTCTTACCAAGCTTTCGCCATTACCAAGTTAATATCTGTGAGTAATGTTGATTTTTGTATAAAATTCAGCGGCCACGCGCATTAATTATACTGACAATGTTAAAACAATCGTTTGATTTATAATTTAAAATATCGCGATCGCGTAGTTTTCTCCACTATCTTATTTTGTTTGCTGCTTTTGTTGCCCCAAATATTTTCTTTAGCGCTTTATTTTCGAAACATTCTAAATCTATTTTCTTCTTGTATTGTGATCGCCCATTTTTCAAACCTGTACTTAGCTATCGGTATTGTCATTTACTAAAGTCATCGAAATTCCAATCCAAGATTATTGTATGCCCATTGGCTACTGCGATACGTGACATGAAGATCGCTCGTTTCAAAATTGTCCATTCAAATTTCCGTTAAAGTAGGCAAAATTATTTACGCGTCATTTGCAGAAATCTAATAAATCTACGCAATCGTTGGCGCTTATTATAAAATCTTTGTTTTATTCACATCTCGCATTCGAAGATTTATTGAACGTTACAGAATAAATAGCATCAAGATCACATTGTTTTCGAGCCTCCTGCAGGAGAGCTCGATTAAATTGTAATTTTCGAATGATATTTGATTAAGTAGATCATTTTTATTGCCCCGGGTATCGTATGAGCGAATGGATGAAAACGACAACTTAAGAATCGTTATCAACGTTTCTGTATCTTTAAATGCCGCGAAAAAAAAAAAAGATAAAGAAAAGAAGTATTGTCATTCGCTACATTAAATCAGCTATATTTATAATACTTTGTATTTGTCGCTGAGGAATTTTTTATTTTATCTATCATCGTCCCAATCAATTATAACTCCCATCCATTGCCTCCATTAAAAAACACGCCTCCCATTAAAATCCAATAATGATATTGTACATTACTTTGTCGGCAACTGTTAATATCGCTACGATGCTAAATAATAATAATAATAATAATAATAATAATAATAATAATAATAATAATAATAATAATAATAATAATAATAATAATAATAATAATAACGGTCTCTCCCACTCTTTCATCAAAGCGTCTTCCATACATTGTACGACGAGGAAAAACACGAAATTTGAAATTTTGTAATGTTTGAGAATTTCGGACTATTTATAAACAACAATTGTGCAATGTAGCCGGTAGTCTTTTAAGCGCCGAGACTTAAAAAAAATAAAAAAAATTTATATATATAATGTCGTGTTTTAAATGTCGTAAGATTTATTTCGAGGCATTTAGTTTGTAACTGATACGCGATAAAAAAAATTAACGCACAAACCGAGGACGGCTAAAGCCACATATTGCCAATGCAATGTTAATTCCTTAGGAAAACGTAGCCTCGCCAGTTTCCAATTCGATATAACTTCTGCTCCAGCACAACAGCTTCGCCCTGTTCCCTGGGCAAGGAGCAAGAAGCATCGACTGCCTCATCCATCGAGATTAGAGATAGATGGAGGTGGTGGCTCGATGAAAATAGCGATTATTAGTGGGCCGTGATGTGAATGGAGGAGAGGGTGGAGGGCGATTTTTTGCCGATTCGAGAGCGGCTTTTCCAGCTGGCCAGCGGCCAATCCGCCTTATCATGATCCGGGAATGCTGACCCCCCGGTTACAGTAACACGATACACTCGGTCAATGTTTTGCCACTGCGCCAAATTGCCTGGAGTTTACTCCAAATGAGTAGCTCCTTCTCGCTCTCTCCGTTATATCGTACTCTTTTACGAGCGACCCTCGCTATTTTTCGGCTGGTTCGAGCTGTAATTTGTCGAATCGTTGAGCCTAATATAGTAAATGCAACTTGGTATTGTTGTTAATGGATCGAGCGTTCGACGACGAAATTGCAATGTAAAGGCCAAATTATTTTTAAAGAATAAATGCTTTTTCGTCACTGCATACGTTGCCTCTTACGTTGCTTTTCTCAGAGTTTTGTTTCTTTCATAATGTATGTTGTTTTAGCGAATGAGGTATTGAAATGTCATTAGAGTGTCCTATTTTTCAAAAATAATAAATTGAATATTCCCGAAGCTTTAAAACTGACACAATGGTCAGAAAAATATTGAAAAATATTTTTAATTTGTGCAATTCCTCGGTTCTTTAGGATAGAAATTTCAATAAAAGTTTTCAAGACCAAATGAAAGTTGCATTTAAGCATAAAATATTACCATTTCAATGTTATTTTTAAACTGAAAATGAAATTAAAATTGCCACTAACTTGGTTTCGTAGTTTCATAAAATATGTCTTGTCTTATTAAATTTGAATTATCTTTGAATGGATTTGATGAAGTACGGTAAAACTATAATATATAATTAGGCGTAAATTATCTGCTTTGCAGCACTTTAAATACACCGTAATAATTAATATTATACACACATATATGTGTGTGTGTGTGTGTGTGTGTGTGTGTGTGTAAGATGTGTTAAAAACGTCGACGATATGCATCTAATGTGTACTGTGAAATATCGATTCAACTTTTTTCAAACAATAACTGCCAAATTATATAATGAGTAAAAATGAAATTATCATGATTATCCCGATTCTAAAAATATATCGCGCAAGCCGCAACTATAAATAGCTCTACTTTTATAGAGTTTAAATGGATATAAGCTCGAAAGATAATTAATATCATAATCTTAATATTTTATTCTTCATCCATTATAAGAGACTATAATCCTGGTAAAAATAAACTCGAGTGAATAAGGAATAAGAAATAAGGAGCTTATTCATCAATTAGCTGTCAAAATATTACGCCGTCTTTGTAAGCATCAACGCTGAAATTTAATATTCATGATATTTCAAGTAAAGTACAATTCACCGAAACGCCAGGAGAAAAGGAACTGCAAAATTCAATACTGAACTAAAAATGGAGAAATTAAAGTAAATATCCGTAAATCAAAATTTTACTATCGTTTGCAGTCTCAGCCTCTTCCATTCATAGAGAGTAAATACACGAGAGAGAGAGAGAGAGAGAGAGAGAGAAAGAGAGAGTCCTAATTAAGGAACCTATATTCACGCTATTTATCTTTACACGAGCATTAGCAGCATACAATCACAAAACGCGCGCCCGCGCATACTGCGAACCATAATTCTACTTTTCCAAGTAACTTTTCGAGAGCGGTTTTACGTATTTTATTTCTCGTGTTCTACACATAGACGAATAATATTTCAAGGAAAAGCACATTAAAGTCCACAGGAGGCGTACGAAAATTGCACAAATTGTCATAAGCAATGCGTACGCGTACACACGCAACTGCCACTTGCCGCTTCACCCTCATATACGCTTTTCACACATCCGCATATTCCATTGTTTATAAGCTTGGATTATTTAGGCTGTGACCAAGGATACATTCTCAATGCGCGAAAACTTTATTGGGTTAAAAATAATTGGACTTTATTTAAGCTTAAAATAATTCGCGTGCAACGACTTTAACGGGCTTTAAATGAAGGTTTTTGAAAATTTTGCCCCATTAGAATATATTTTGTTTCGTAAACGTCACTTGTTGTTGCGATGTTGACTGATAATTTTTAACATACCTCATATTGGTGATGGTTTCGTTATTCTCGTGTAAGATATTTATGATAATTTCTGCACGTTAACTAAAAGATGCAATTACAGGTAAAAACGTTTTACTTTACCAAAAATGAATTTTATTATTCTTAATAAGCGGCTAAATAAAAATGTTACGGAACATTGGTTTTTCCGTTACTCAAGAACTCAAATTTAATTGAACGTGTATAGAATTTAATAAAAATAGAATAGTTTTGTAGTTGATATTATTTGAGTTTTTGGCACAATAGGATAATATTTTTAAAAAGTAATTAAATTTCACGCGCTCGTGAATTTTTTAAGTTTTTAGTTTTAAACGAAATACATATCACGATAATGCAAAATGGAAAATACAAATTTAAATGATAGTAATAGAATAATCTATATCTAATCGTGCGGATTTTTTAATTTTAATTTACATAAAACTTTTCCAATACAAAAATCTATAATTACATTGATTTCTCTAAACAATTTATAATCCAATGCATAAAGAAAACAAAACATATAGTAAAGTAAAATTGGCTCTTTGAAAAGAAATTTTCCGCAAAAATACCTGATTGTTTTTTGTTTTTCTAAAAGCCATATTTCATTGGATTTTAAACAATTTTCTTATTTTTAATAGAAATATATTTGTAAAGTTTATTTACTTTTCATAATATTTTATCAATGACTTGGAATTACCGTTACATTAGTTGCACAAAGGGAGTGAAACAATAGAGAAACTTCAACTCGCTGTCAGTGCATTTATTTGTAGGTGTTTAATGCATAGAAAAAAATGTTAATATAATTAACAAAGAAGAGGATTTATTTTCTTTTAACGGTGAATACAGTGATGCTATCGAGAATTTAGATTTCTTATAAACGACGCGGTACATGTTATTGACGAAAATGTAAGAAAATGTTGAAAAGGAACCAAACAAAAAAAAAAATTAGATTGACAATATAAATTCATTTTATTAATGTAGATACAGATTATTTGTTTTATAATCGCTAGGATCTAAGCACGATTATGTGTAATTTAAAATTAATATATTAATTATCAAGTATATTAAGCGGTAGAGAACAAAGATACTAAAATTTAAAATAGTTTTAAGACAAAAGTTGTTTTGAAGTCATCCCACGATTGACAAATAGACAAATTCCCCAAACTTAATAGTTCTCTTTACTATTTGTTAAAACGACAGATTATTTACAGATCAATCTAAGATTAACTTTATATACATGTTATTAATTTTTTATTTTTTATATCCGCCTTCGCACAAATGCGCATCATTTCACTTTTCTTTTCATCAACTATATATATATATATATATATCTAAGTATATAATAGCATTTGTGGAATCTTTTTGCCAAAATATCTCCCGATACGGCCGTGACAATATTAAAAGAAAAAAATCGTATTTACGAGCGCGTGAATGTAAAAGAATAAATATAAAAGAACGAGAGTGCCACTTATTAAATGAATATAATTATATTTTTCAAGCTTCGAAGCATTTTAAAAATAGAATCATCATTATAGCGTTTTCAAAGCTCGACAGATCCGTGGACC